GAGTGGGTTGAACTGGCAGGCTGATTTATTTATCAACACGTTTGTTCGTTCAGGCAGTGTATCAAAAACATATTGTATGTGCATTTCCTGTCGATTTCATGCAGCCACCTCATATGCAAACATAACACTCTTCCTGATGACAAGAGGTCATTTCAGTCTAGGGAGGACTAATATTTTAGGTGAAAACAGGAACGTGTAAAAGACTTACACTGATTGGAAAATAGACTGAAGCTAATTTTCTTAAACTTGCTGGGGGAAAGTGATCTGGGATGCTGATTTTTGTTTCTACACCAAAAAAATAAAACTTAAGTAAAGCAAAAATCTGTGGGACAGGGCTGTCAAGCTAAGAGAACAGCAACAGGAGAACGGCTACTATCTGGTCTCTGGTAGAGTACAGACAACGCTGAAGCTGGCAGGCGCAAAAGAGTGCAGGCAATGTACTGAAGCACTTGAAATCTAGCAATTGAAGGGTATATTTGACAGTCAACTTCACTTTCACCTCTGTATTGCAGGCTGATAGCTGATTTTGTTGGCCAAGGTGACGGGGGACAACAGTGATTGTACAACAATAAAAACAGCAGCGCAACCCAATGAATCAGACCTCTTTGTAACCTGATTACTGTTTCCTTGACTGCTTCTCGGGTGTAAGCAAAGGAAGAGTTTTGTCTGTGCTGTGGCAGATGAGGTTGTTGGTTCCTGAGGACTGCAGAGCCAACGCTCCGCCTTGTAAATGTTTACTGCTAATGAAAGTCAGAATGAGTTGGTAAGGCTATGAATTAAGCTAGCCAGAGGCTGCTGTCTTCTAGCTATAAATGGGCCTGAGCTGCATCACTGGAGCTTTAAGAGAAGGAAGAACGATACTGTTTGTACAACACTTAGCACAACAGGGTGCTAGTCCACAACTGGGGTCCTAAGCACCACTGCAATACAAACAAATAATAGCAAGTGGATCCAAGCTTCCCAGCTCAGGTTCACATTGAATCTGTCTTCCCCCAGTATTTTGGGAGAATCTGAATCCACATCAAGACGTGATCTTAGTGACCTTACTTTCTAGAGTGGGCTGAAGGGGAGTGACAATGCACCCAAATTTTGCATTCTGATCTGACTTTCCGCTCTGAATTTCTCTCCGTGGTGGAGTTGGGCTGGTCTACAATACACAGTTAGGTCAACGTAAGGCAGCTTACATTGACCTAATTAGGCCAGTGCACACACTATAGACGTGACCCACCGATGTAAGTGTCCTACCACATTGATGTCATCACTCCATCCTCATGGGTGGCGTTGAACTCATGGCAGTGTAGTTAGGGGGGTGCAGTGTCTGTGTCAGGCCCACCAGCCTGGGGAGAGGAGCAAGACAGGCAATTGCTCCAGGGCCCAGCAATTCAAAGCAACCTGGGGCTCCAGTTGCTGCCACCTCCACTGCTGCAGTAGCAGTGGCAGTGGGCCCTTTAAATTGCTGTCAGAGCCCCATGTTGCACACTGCAGAGCCCCAGGTGGCACATTCAGATGATGCTGAGGGCCCCGTACCCTGGCTCTGCCCCTGCTGCCCAAGGCCCTGCCCCTTCCTGGAGGAGCTGAGAAGTTCAAGGTGGCTGCCCTCTGCTCCTGCCTGGCATAGCTGAGGTTCTGGCAGAAAGATGTGCAGAGCTGAGAGCACTGGCTCTTTGTCCTCCTACACTGTCTCTCTTTAGTCAGTGGAAGCGCTCCTGGTGAGCATGTGCACCATGGCGAGAAGGAGGGTAATTATTATATGTGGGCTGACATATGGGCTGTAGTGTAGACATGCCCACAGTCAAAGTGTCCATTATAGGGTGGAAACTGCCACATCCGCAGAATAGCGGACATTCCAGTACTTCTGGGAAGAGGCGGCCCTATCTCAGCCGACATGACCTTGCATGCACTGTGCATGTGAAATCATGCTGCATGGAGGAAGCCATTTTGAAGGCTACTCCCCCCCCCCGCCCCCCAATGTACTGGCATGAGCTCATATGCACAGTGCATAGGTCATGCTGCTAGGGTGCTGGCCTGGCATTCAAAATGGTTTTCTTTGTCTATGATACCAGACCCAACCATATCTGGATTTGGCTCAGTGCTGGATGGGAGCCAAACCTGAGCAAAACAGGACTGCCCAGTTTAACACAAGACACATATGTAGCTTTTCTCGTCCAGTTTCAGAGTCCTTAGAGCCCAGTTGCACTACTCGCTGGTTGGGAGTAAACAGAAATGATCTAATTAATCAATAAACTGTTATCAGAAGGTGCCTGTTGTGTGCCTGCTCCGGGGTGTATTGCCACTTACATTGTAACAAGCCAGAAGAGCTGATAAAACAGGACAAACCATATTAGGAGGATATAAGTAAATCTTACGGAAATTAAATAATAAAGAATGCACATTTAAATAATGTCTGACGTCAGCTGAACAGATCAGGGAAATGC